AGGCTTTGTTAAACAGTGGCTGCAAGAGGCCAGTTACGTTCACTCACTTCTGAAAATGACTTTCTCCTGTTCACTAGCCTCCAAGTGTGCTTGATCATTGGAAGCCTCAGCAAAATGACAAATGCTGCAGGTTACTGTCTCTGGGGTTTCTCTGGAACAGTTGAAACCTTGGAGGAGGTAAAGTCCTCAAAGCCAAGGAACCCTTGCAGTAAGATTGGCCAGGAAGGAAAGTGATGAAATCTGCAGTACCACTCTCCTTGCCCCCTACTGCCAGACTGAGAGGTGAATGAACCATTCATTCAGCTGATAAACCTATCAAGCAATCAAATTTCCTGGGCACTTTTGGACAAGGTCCTTAAAACAGTTACTGGAGGCACAATGCTGAAACAGACACACTCCCTGTCCTTTACAAGTTCTCAGACTAGGGTGGGAATCAGACTTGTAAATATATAACCTACAATGTGATAAATGTCATGATATTAACATATTCAAACTACAGTGGCTGTAAAGAGGAGGAAGTATCTAACTCTGAAGGTAGGGGAGGAGAATAAAGAAAACTTGCAGAAGAAGGGATATATGAACTGGATCTTAGGGGACAAACAGGATAAGTACATTGGGAAAACAGTGAGTCAAGGAACAGAAGCATGAAAAATTAAGAAGCATGGACCAATTGGGCAAGAGAGCAAGACTCAAAAAGACAGTGGCTGTACTTGCTGTTATCACGACCCACCTGATGTGAGTTCTCTACTTGCCTCTCTGGCTGCTCCTTCACTGTCCATTGCTTATCTGTCTAATTCCTCAGGGCTTTGTTCTAGGGCCTTTTCTCCCCTCACTTTCATAATCTGGGAGATCTCACCATCTCCCATGGTTTCAGTTACCATCCACTTGCTAACAACTCCCAAAGTCTTATCTCCTATGCAGAAAATTTTTTTGAACCCAGACCTGTATATCTAGCTGTACCTAGGATATCTGTACAGGGATGATGCTAGAGACTAGTCTAAAACTGACTTCACTTTCCCCTAACCTATTCATCTCGCTGCATCTCTCATCTCAATAAAAGCCACCACCATCCATCTAGCTCCATCAGCCAGAATCCTGGGAGTCTTCTCAATTCCTTCAAGTCCTTCAATTTTCAGATATACGCTATGACTACATCCTTGCTTCTGTTCCTAAAATGTGTCTTGATTAAAGGTCAGGAGATTCAAGGGCTAGTCCTGACTCTCACTAACCTCACTAATGCAAGGTAAGACTCTGGACAAGTTCCTACTCCATCCCCTTACTTGCAAATTCTGTGTGTGTGTGGGGCATATCTTTTTCTTCCCCAAATCTGAGATTCCCAAGGTTCTCTGTCCAGCCAAAGATCTCTACAGATTGTAATATGTGTCCATGATCAAATCCAACCTTGTACAACCTTGAGTATTTGATTTCTGGTTTTCACAGCAAGGCTAGGTGTGTTAGACAGTGGTTGTAGTTGTCTACCTCTCTTGCTGAGTTGAGGTCACCAATGACACTCCTTCTGAACACCCTCGACCCTAGCAAAATGATTTTGCTCTATTTTTCTGAACACAAGTACTATACAAACTATGGGCCTTCGCTCAGGCTTTTCTCTCAGCAAGGATGCCCTTGTCCCCTCAGCGGCTGAGGCAGACCTGGCACGCAGAGGTGCTCAGTATATGTTGGTGACAAGAGAGCCATGTCTAAATCACTGCAGTTCCCTCTCACCAGACAGAGAGGCAAAATCAAAGGCAATAACAAGACAAGGGAACAAAGTTCCAAGGAAAAGGACCTCCACTCAACATAAAGAAGCTTCCCCATAGCAGAAGGTAGTAAGTGCTCTGTCACTGGAGGCATGCAAGCCAAGGGAGGCAGGGCACCTGTCAGGCCTGCAGCTGATTCCAATTCTGCAGCAAATCACAGCCCTGCTTAGGGATGAATGGGCACTGATGAGCTGGACAGACAGGCAGGGAGAGAGAGACCTGTGAAAAGACCTCTGCACCTGCTCCAGCCTCCCAGATCTCATCTCCCTTCAGGGGCCAGTCCTGGTTTATGCTTTCCACATCAGAGACCCTTGCACAAGAACAAGCTCGGCCTTTAGCGGACCGACCTCCCTGGGGTGCAGCCTGCCCCTCCAACCTGCAACCATCTGTCCCTGCAGGATTGCAGCCCATGATCTGAAGCCAAGTCCCGAAGGGAGGAGGCCAGAACCAGGGAGGAGCCTGGGGTCCTCCAGGCGGGGCCCTGGCTGCATGGGAAACAGAAGGGTCCTTTCCTACAAGAAACAACCGCCAGATGAGGCTGCCCGTCCTGAGGCCAGGGCTAGAGGAGGAAAGGGTGTCCTCTATACCCGCCGATGGGCCTCTAGGTGCCTGAGGACGGAGGAGGTAGCAAGGGGTGGAAGTGTCTGCACCAGGGAGAAAGGAACCCTCAGACAAGCTGGGCCACTAGATTCCAGAGTCCCACTCAGCAACCCCACCCGCGCCCCCACCCCCCATCATCCTCGGCCGCACGGTTCGACACCCTCCGCCAATATACACAAGCTCCCAAACCCTGCGCTCTTCCAAGGAACCATCACCCATCCACCCGCGCCTCCCCCCTCAAACATGGACCTCACGTGAGCAGCCACAGCCCGAAGAATCCCCCCACGGCTCTCACGGACAGGGACACGCCTCACGTGGACAGAGACAGGCACAGCTTTTGAAAAGCATCTATGCCCCCACCCACAGCCACTCGGACAGACACATCACCGCTCCGATCCAGACCCGGACCCGGGCAGACAGGAACACAAACGCACCCCTGGGGGCCGCCCGTCGCACTCACCGCGGCCAGGCAGGATAGGAGGGCCAAGACCCGGACTGCGGCCACTCCGAGGAGCCCGCGGCGCTGCCCCTGCTGCCAGCGCCCGTCCGCCCGTCCCCGCCCGCCCCCACCCCACCCGCTCAGATCCCCCGACTCCCCTGAGGTTCCTGCGGGAGGTTCCTTCGCGGTCGGGCTGGGCAACCCTTGAGCCAGATCCCGGATCCCGGATCCCGGATCCTCGATCCCCGCCAGCTGCCTCTGACTCCCGACGGTTCCAGGAAACGGCAGCGTAGTCGGTCTCAGGGACTGGGCGGACGCTCCATTACGAAAAGGCGGCTGGGCAGCAGGGTGTTCGGACTCTGGGAGCGGGTAAGGGCTGCCTCCTGGAGGTGCCCTTCCAGGCTGTCTTGGGGGGCTCCTACGAACTATGCTAGTGTGGTCTCTGCTGAGCGGGGGGAGACAGGGATCACCTGTGCCTCGGCGCGGATCTCTGGGCGACGGAAGAGCCCCAAAGTGGAAGGGCAGCACCCAGGGCTCTGGGAGAAGGGGCTGACGGCCGAGAAAGATGGGGCTTGATTTGGCTCAAGGTGCCTGGCTCTCCCTCAGGAGCCCCTCGCGAGGAAATTATGGTTCAGGCCATCCAGCGACTCCCTTCCATCATCCAAGACCAGAGCGATTCTCAGAATCATCACATTGTGGAAAACTAGTCCCGGTGGAAAATAATAAGTGTAACTGTTAGCAGGGACTGCTTATTATGTGCCAGACACATAAGGGATCACCTTAAATATATTATCTTCTTTAATACTCATCATCTTAATAGGTAGCTTCTTTCATTATCCGTGTTTTGCAACGGAAAGAACTGAGGGCCCTCGGCTCCCCAGACAGTAACCCTGATCACTCAGGTAGAAAGGGCTGGAAACAGGGTTTGAGTTCTGCTTGTAGGTCCTGGCTCCAGTCACTAGGAGCCTCAGAACGTTTCATGTTGAAGTATCCCAGTGACCCATAAGCTGGAGGGGGGCCTGTATGTGGACCACCCCACTCAATAATCAAACTTGTCAGATAACTGCACCTTTCGAGGTAGAGGACAATGCTTAATTCTGGAGCATTCCTTGGCCAAGAGATATAGGGCAATGGTACCTGGACCCGGACTAAACGAAAATGCTGTTAGGGAGCTTTCTTGCAACACACAAGGTTCAGGTTTGGGCTCAATACCTGGGTGCAGCAGGGACCCTGGGAAGTGCCTTGACTTTTCACCTGCCTCAGTTCCTGCACAGGTGCTCTGGTGCCTGTGAATGAGCCTCAGGGTTCATGATTGCTCTGTAATTTGGGGCCAGGGCTAGGAGACTACCCTATACGAGGTGACTTGGGTCTGTAGAACACTATTTTAAGCCTCACAGACTTCTTTCCTCAACCCTAAATGTCCCCCATGCCATCAAATTTCTGCTGATAAGGCTTCAACAGCTCTCTGTTCAAAGGGCAGTCCTTAGGCAGCCTGAAAACGCTCAGCATGATCTGCTACCTTGCCTCTGTAGCCATCCTCTAGCCATTCCCCCTTCATGTCTGCCAAGCTAATTCCTCCCAATTCCTACTCAGGACCTTCACATACACTGGCGTCTTTGCCTAAGATGCTCTTCCCCTTACCCTTTACCTGGCTGTCATTTAGTTACCCTCAGGTCTCAGCTTTCAAGTTGACATCCCCACCTCCATCCATCTAGGCTCCATCCACCATCATCCTCTGTGCTCCCACAGCTCCCGGTACTTCTGTATCCTAGTATTTATCACTGTATTGTAGTTGCCTGGTTACTTGCCTCTATCCCCCACTAGGCCATAAGCACTGTGGGCAGGGACCGTGTTTTATTCCCTGATGTCTCCCCAGGGTCTCGTGCAGTGCCTGGCAAATGAAAGCATTCAGTACAGTAAATATTTGCTGTATGAATGAACAGATGAAGGAGGTCGGTAGGCCCAACCCCCTCTGGGCCCTGTGTTTTAAGATACATTGTTATCCTGGCACAAGCCTAAAGGGCAAATAAAGCTTTGGCTCCTACTGGGGCTGGGGGAGGGGACTAGGCTCTCCAGAAAGGTGTGACTTCAGCTATCTGGCCCCAGCTCTCCTGAAATAGTAGGATTTTGATGTATGATTAGACTGAGCATTTATTCACCCAGACCACCCTCCTAGAATCCCCCACAAATTGACCTCACTGGGCCTGCTTTTATGAAAGGTTTATTCCTAGTGCTAGGTCCCAATCTTCCAGGGCTCTAAGCACAATTAAACTGGGTGGGCAGGTGAGGGGAGACCCATTCAGATGCATGGCCAAAAATGGGGCTCCCTATATCCCCACCCTTTTGGTCCCAGTCCCCTTCTCTGCAATGGGCACGCATTGAGGAGGGACAAAGGGTACTGGAGGCAACATCATTGGCCCAGGGGAGCCCAAGAAGAGCTGCCATTGGCTGACAGGGCCTTTTGAGGCTCTGCCATTGGTCAGGGGGCACACCCCAGAAACTGGGGATAAGCCTGAGGAGTGATGCCATTGGCCAGGGAGTGGTTTTGTCATAGCCTTTGGCTGTGGAGTGAAAGGAAAAGATCTGGGAATGAAGCCCAGTGGCCAGGAAGATAAAGGACAGGGCTGCAGCTGCTGGGCCTGCAGGCCCCCTGTCAGGCCCCAGCCAGGGAAAGGGAACCCAAGCCAGGGTGCAGGTGGCAAGGGATGTCCCATGTCCAAATCTCCCCCACCCTGGGACTACCCCTCCCGATGTCCTTCTTGATAGCCAGGTTGGGCTGGAGTGGCTCACTGCTCCTCTAGCCAGGAGGGCTTCTCAGCGCCTGGAGGCCGCAGCTTGATGTTGAACTGCTGCAGGGTCTGTTCCAGTTGTTTCTGGTTCCCAGCAAAGTAGGCGGACACGGCGTTGTGGAAGAGCAGCAGCTGCTTGTGCATCACCTTGATCTGGGGGTCCAGCAGGGTCAGCTGAGACTGGACTTAGACACCCTTTCTGAGGGGCTATGAGCCTGAACCCAGACCAGGGGCACACGGACTGCTCTGATTCTGCTTTTGGAGTGGGGGCTGAACTCCACCAAGAGAGTCAAGGGATAAAAGCCTTGTAATAGGAGAAACCTAACTTGACTGGCTGGGCCAGGGTTCTGGCACCTAAGCTCAAGGGGTGGTTTTTTCCCAGTTGTGTTCCTGGGATCAGCAGCCAAATCCTCTAGTAGAAAAGGGCCAGGGATCAGAGGGAGGGTGACAGGGAAAGGTCCAGGGATTGAGTGGGCTGGGGGATGTTCCCACTCCTTAGCCAGGATGTATTTCCCCATTCAGTGATGGGGAGTTTGAGGGGAAGGTCAGTGGTACAGATGGAAAGGTGGGCTGGGTCAAAGGGGTGGGGTTAGCACCTTATTTTCTTCCAGGAACTTGAGCTTGATGGCCACATCTCCCCGCAGCTTCTCATATTTGTCCCGATGGGCCTGGAAAGTGGCCTGGGCACTCTCGAGTCGACCACGCGTCCCTGCATCCCGGGGGCCTAGGCTCAGCTCCTCTAAGTCTGTCCGGTAGGCATCATATTCCAGCCTGGGGAGGGGGTGATATGGGCTGGTCTCCACCCCTTTGCACTCCACACATACTCTCCTAGTTTTCTCAATTCTCTTGCCCCTAAAGCTCAAACTTTCACCCATGCCAGCCAACTCCCAGAACCCTAGGCCCTGCCAGTGCCCACACCTGGCAGCCTCATACTGTTTGACAGTCATGAGAGTGTCTTCCATGGTCTTGGTTACCAATGTGTTGATGCTAGAGACAAAGAAGTTCACAGCCCCTAGCAATGTCTCTCCGTTCTTGCACAGCAGCTTCTGCGTCTCTGCATTGTAGCCAAATTCCTCCTGCGGGCAGAAGGAAGGGACAGGCCTTGAGTAACAGTCACCACCTGGCTGGAGCTAAAGGGCCCTTCCTCCCCCTCCTCTCCTGGGAGGAAACAGCCAATGACACTGGAACAAGTCAGGACTGCCTCCAGCAAGGCTCTCTTAGCCAGAAAGTTAGTGGGGCCACCCTGGGGCAGGAATGTGGGAGTGGGGGGGTCTCAGATAAGTTCACAGGACTGGAATAGGGAAAGCTAGTGCAGCAGGCAAGGGAGGGGCTCTGATTAGGCTGAGCACAGAAGGCATTCTCGTCAATGCAGAGAAGGGTTACTTGTGAGGCACCTAGTGTGCCGCCTCCCCCACCGCCGCCCACTTCTGGACCTCTGTACAAACCCTTAGGCTGCCTCCACAGGTGAGTGCTGCTGGGGGCGGGGCTGGGCCCACCCTGGAGGGGTTCTCCCTCTGGGCTGCAGGAGGGAGGGAGGGAGGGAGGCTGAGGGGTGACTGCCTGGGAGGGCCTGGGCCCAGTCCCCCCACCCTCTTTGGCCTGACCGAGGCACCTGGAGCTCTGGGGACTTCTGGCTGAGGTCAGCAAAGGCGTCCCCCAGTGCATGCTGGGTCTGCAGCAGGCTGTAGAGGTGGGCTGTCAGTGCCCGGCCCAGCTGCAGGACACTCTCATACTTGCGCTTCGTCTCACGCAGCAGCTCGATCTGCAGCTCCAGCTCCAGGTCCACAGTCCGGGAGCCTCGGCCAAATCGCTCTGATAACAGCTGCTTTGTGCACTAATGGGAAGTGGGAGAGCAGGTCAGAGACCCTAGCATGCTGCCCCTGCAAAAGGCACCTACCCCAGCATCCCCAGGCTTCTGAGTCTCAGCCACAGCTGGGATATTAGGATCTGGAAGATGGGGAAAAGGTACCCAGGGCAGTTTGGGGGAAGGGAGAGGTGCCTGAATCCCACCTTATATGTATTGATGCCCCATTTCTTGACGATGTCGAACTTCTCTCCAGCGATGCCCCGAGCCACCTCATCTCCAGGGCCAGCAGGAGTAGCATTGTGAGGTGGATGGCGGCCAGACCCTAAAGGACCAAGTTCTCTGACACCAGTCTCTCTCAGATACAATCAGACACCTCTGTGGTTCCCCCCACACTCCCCTCCCAGCACATGAAAATGACTTCCCTGAAGGAGCAGAAGCTAGAGACAATTAGATTCTCTTGGTCACTAGGAGGAACTTATATTGTGCCCTGAGACCCAAATCCCAATACACGTTGGCTTCTTAAAGTGAGGGTTGGAAAAGGGGGGAAGAGGAAGTGGCATGTGTACAGGGGTAGAGGAAACAGCAGGAAGTAGGCCCAGTATGGGTGACTGATCATGGAGGGTGAGTCCGGCAAACAGAAAACCCAGTTGACAATTCCCATGTTGATTCTAGTCAGTGTGAGATTCACAACTGTTTGTTCTTCTAAACGTTAAGAGTCAAATTAAAGCTCTGAGAAGCCTCACAAAGTTCCAAATCAGATTCAGGCTCTAGAGCAGGTTAGGGAGAAGGAGAGCTGTGAAACAGAGTTCTTTGCTTGTCTTAGGTACTGACAGCAGGGGAAGGTACAAGTGGGGCTAAACTGCAAGTGGGAGCAGAAGGCCAACTCTGGGAGCTGGCTTTGGGCTGAGATTCCATAAGGCTCATACTAGCAGAGGTTCCAAGGATCTCCAAACAAAATGCAAGCATTCTTAGACATAGTCTATGCTCCCATAATCTAGGGCTTCCCTGGTGGCTCAGACGGTAAAGAGTCTGCCTGCAGTGCGGGAGATCTGGGTTCGATCCCTGGGTCAGGAAGATCCCCTGGAGAAGGAAATGGCAACCCACTCCAGTACTCAAGCTTGGAAAATCCCATGGACAGAGGAGCCTGGCAGGCTACAATCCATGGGGTCTCAAAGAGTCGGACACGACTGAGCAACTTCACTTTGAACTTTTGATGCTCCCTGGAACCATCCCTCTCCCCATCTCCGCTCAAGCACCCTGTCCTGTTCTGATCATTCATACCTGTGGGGATGAGTCCATCACCAGAGCCCCCATAGCCACCAGACACAATGCTGGTTTCATTGAGGTTGGGTCCTGACACCATCACCTGCTGGAGGTCCTATAGGCCAGAGAAGAGGGGGGCTTCAGGAACATAGGGGCAGCTGAAGCATTTTGGGGGTGAAAACAAGCTTGGATTGAAGCATCACAGAAAGAGCACACAAGGGAAGTCTGCACAAAATCAGAACAAAGATTTGTAAAAAGGCTGAAGGGAGTTAGGTAAGTTAGGGGAAGGTTACTGGAACAGAGGTGAGAGTTCAGGGTTTATGAGTTGAGATTCCTCAATTGAAACAATATGAAGAATCAACCAGAAGCACCTGCTCCAGCCCATCATCCTCAGGAAGCTGCCCAGCTTCACCGTTCCCATGGATGGGGATCTCCATTGTGGCTGCCTTCCCTAGGATCCCGTCCGTCATGGCGAGCGAAGGGACTGGAGTCAAGGTCTCCACCCCAGCGCCCTGCAAAGCCCAACACAGACAGCTCTGGAAACTGGCCAGTACTCCAAAGAGGAAGGTCTCCCCTACCATTTAAGAGGTTGTCCCAGGGCTTCAGAGTTCTGGGGTTTGGCCACCATTCTTCCCTGAACTCTATGCATTTCTCCCCTCCAAGGTGCATATTTGTACACAGGCAAACCCAGGCCTCAAGTGTGCCTGACCTGAGGTCACATCCCCATGAACCCCACACCCTACCAGAACTCCGCTGATTATTCATGCATTTAATCACTCCACATACATTTAATGAGTGCCTACTATGTGTCACACACTATCTCAGACCATGGAGATACAGCAGCGAACAAGAGAGAGAAAGTATGTGTTCTCAAGAAGCTCATCCCCATACAGGTGTTTCTCCCCATCAGGAGATTAACCCCTTTCCCCGAGCTCAGGTGTCTACTGCCATTCAGTTATGTTCACCACTGTTTGGCTGTTCACGCTCCTTTCGTGTTTCTTCCCCTTTCCAGCAGGTGGTCTTCCCCTCCTCCATCCCATGCACCTTGTCTTCCTCGGGCCCTGCCCCCCCCCGAGGCCTTAGTTGAATCAGTTGGTCTAAGTTCTTGACCTCTGGGAAAAACCTCTTTTTTCACAGGACATAGGTAGGTGATCCCTTCCAAAGTCAGTTTAGTTTCCCCAGGTGTGTGAGTCTCCGCCCTCCCCCCATACACCTGGGCATCAGGTGTGTCCTCATCCTTCCCCAGGGCTCAGAGGCATCTTGCCCTCTGGTCAGGTTCGTGCATTCAACTTGCACTCGCCCATGCATGTCCCTCTCACCTCGGGCCGGGCCGCTCTTCCCCTCAGGGCGCCAGGCCCGGGCAGCGCGGGGACCTCCGGCTCCAGTTCCCGTCGCGATCCTAGCAGCAGGTCAGGGACTCGGCGGAAGTGACGTCCCCACCCGGGCAGAAGAAGCCGGCCACGTCGCAGATTATGAGGGCGGAAGTGACGTTAACATCTGGGGCAGGGCGATCCTGGAGCCAACCCTTCTGTCCCTAGGGAGCTAGTAGACGTCACTTCCGGGGCGTTATCGAGAAGCTGAAAAGGAAATAACCTAGAGCTCGCGCTGGTGGCGTGATGGAGCAGCAACAGCAGCAGCAGCAGCAGCAATTGAGAAACGTGAGTGGGAGCTAAGTCGCTTTAGGGCCATGCGTTCAACTAGCATCTTGTCTGCATATCGGGAACCCCAAATAGCCAAGCATCTGAGGGCTGGGAAAGTCGGGCCGTGGGGCGCGGTCCTGGGAAAGCTCGGGCGGCGCGGCCTTGAATTAAAATGTGGCCCCTCTTCGCTGAGTTCCTTGTCCCCCTTCCTCTCAGCTGCGGGACTTCCTTTTGGTCTACAATCGGATGACGGAACTCTGCTTCCAGCGCTGCGTGCCCAGCCTGCACCACCGAGCTCTGGATGCTGAGGAGGTTAGGTGGGGAACTGAGTAGGGTAATTACCCTCGATCCTCAGAGTTAACAGTATACTGCTTCTGTCTTTCGCCGCTTCCCCTACCTCTGGCCCCAGCCTTTCTATGACCCTCGCCCCTAGGCTGGAGTTGCGGCAGGACCTGACAGGACTCCGTTGACTTCTGCTTCCATCCTGTCTTCCTTCTAGGAGGCATGTCTGCACAGCTGTGCCGGGAAGCTGATCCATTCTAATCACCGCCTCATGGCCGCCTACGTGCAGCTCATGCCTGCCCTGGTACAGCGCCGCATGGCAGACTACGAGGCTGCCTCAGCTGTGCCACATGCTGCTGCTGAACAACCCGAAGCCTCACCATCCGGCAGCTCGCCATCCGCAAACCTCGGGAAAGGAGGCGCTGGATGAAGCCTCGAATTGAAGGAGCCAGTGGACCTAGGGCTGGGTGCAGCCTGTGTGTAGCAAGTGAGGAGTTGTCCGAGAGATGGGTACTGTTGCTCCTTTTCCTGGAGCTAATAAACCCACTTTTCCTCTGTTTGGTTTATATTCTGGGCAAGGAAGTTTTGCCCGCATTGTTGGCACCATCTTTATTATTCTGTCAGTTAGTGCTTCAGCCCTGGAAGCAGAGAAATTGCCTTCTGTATGTAGAAGGAAAGCCTATAACCAGGCATCTGGTTAAAGCAAGAGCTGAGGGTACAATTTTAAGACTGGCAATAGCAACAAGTTGGTTGCCCCGATGATAGAAAATGGGAACTCTATCTAGCTGTCCTTAAATCTGTCTGACTGAAATGGCTCGCTTGGAGATATCTTGGAAAACAGATTAAGAATCCACAGGGCTTTTAGACATTACCTCCTGGGAAGTCAGTAGCCTCAGACAGAGATGAAACCTGTAAGAATTCAGGGGTGTTCTGGAACATCAACCACTTCCTCAAGATGTTACTCACTTAATATTTTCTGTCTTCTTAGGATGAGCAGTTAAATCTTTAAATAAAGAAAATCTGTGTTCTTGTCTTCAGAAGCAGTCAGGAAGGGGAAAACTTGTGAAACCATATTCTGCAATACACTCAGACTTGAGGGATAAAAACCTAAGAGAGAAGTAGGTGGTGATGCTTATGGAAAGAAAAGGGAAGAAAGTAAAAATCTTCAGGACTTCTTAAATGTCACCTTATGTTTCACTTCCTGCCTGTAATCTCCTAATTCCATCTCTTCCTCCACCCCTACGTGTTCCCACTGTGCCTGTTCTGCGATTTCTAATTCCAACCCCTCTGCTCTTTCCTTATTATTGCCCTCCGTGGAATTTACTTCTGTATTCAACAATCTGAATGACCTATCACTCCATCACTGAGTTTTCTTGCCATTCTTGTGTCCTTTTTGTGTCATTCTAGCTGTTTTAACTTTTCTTCTGTTCCTCCATATCAGGTGACCATGTTTTATTTTTAAAATGGAAGTAGTTCTTAGACATTGGCTCCCACGGTAGCCATTTTTTTTTTTTTTTTAAGTACAACCACCCACAAAGCAGATATTTTCACCCCTGTACATATCAGGATGTTGAAATTCTCTAGTAACAGACCATGTCTGAAAATGCAGATCTGACTTTAAAATCCATGTTTTCTTTACTCCACCAGGCTGCCTTTCAAAATATCTTTTGAGTACCCATTTTGTATAGGTTCTGATGTAGGTATTACCCTCACTCAACAGGTGAGGAAGCAAGAATTCAGTATGTACCAGAAGCCCACCTTATACACAGTAACCTGTGGAGAAAAGTAGCTCTCTTTATCGGAACAAATCTTGTACAGGTTTGTTAAGAACCTTTCTTAACAAAAAAGTTGTTGACCGGGAACTTTCCTACTGAGTGGCCTAATGTTTGCCCAAAAAAGTCTCTTGGAAAGTATACATGCAGGTGAAACCACTTGTGAATTTCCCAAGTCCCAAAGACGAGAACAGGGACCTGGAGTACTGTGGTGATGGTCGAAAGATTCTTCCACATCAATGTTTATGTAATAAATGTTGCAGTAAACTTCCAATGTGAATTATCTGTGTTCCCATGTCACATAATTGAGTAATTGCTGTAGAAGTTCCCATGTCACATAATTGAGTAATTGCTGTAGAAGGGTTAACAACACAGATCTGTCTGACTCTTAAAGCCTATGTTCTTTTTTTGTCCTTTGCTGGGTTCTTAGTTCCCTAACCAGGCAGTGAACCCCTGACCATAACTACTAGACAACCAAGGAATTACCAAGTCTATATTCTTCGAACTTGCAAAGTGTGTATTTGTTTGCTCATCTGCAGTCATCCTTTCCCTAGGTATGGAAAAAGAAGTGTTTCTCAATCTGATCCATGAGTTAGTTCCTTAACCTTTCAATCTCTTCTGTGTATAAATATGTTCAGTACTTATGAAAAGAACCTTACTCCTACTATCCATCTTCTATTGTCACTGAAGCCTCCCTCAGGTCTTGGCATAAAAAGTGTTAGCCATTGGCATAATGAAAGCAATGTGACATTTCAAGCACAACACAATGATAAACATTGATCAAGCTTTATCATTTTTTCACAAACATACTTGAGACAGGGTTATTCTTGCCATTGTGGCTTTAGAACTTAACTGCCCGCTCATTTGTCAAGTCTAATTCCTTTGGGCCTATTCAACTCTACCACCCTCTCTTAGAACTTATCCTTAATAACTGCCACTCTTCTACTTTCCTCTAGTTAGACCTTCATCTTCCTATCCATCCTTTGATACTTTAAATGTTACACAGACAGTCCATTCTGTGTTTCTGTCTATTAGTTTCTTGGCCCAATCTCCAATGATTTCTGCTCTGTCTTAGCCACGCTTAGTTATATGCTGGCCATTGTCACCACCCTAAACTGCTCCATCTTCAAAACACTATTGCATCTTATTCACTGACTATTCCTTCCACTTTGTTTAATGAACTATTCCTCTACCATTTTTTTTTTTTTCATTCTAGTCATTCTTTTCGAATAAGCTGAATTTCCTTTCATCTCTGTTGGACTTTGATAAAAATGAAACATTTGTGCCTGCCTTTGGACATCTAAAAACTGACCAAGGGGGACTTTCCTGGTGGTTTGGTGGCTAGGACTTTTTCCCGATTCAGGGGGCCCAGGTTCAGTCCCTGGTTGGAGAGCTAGATCCTTCATGCCACAACTGAGAGTTTGCATGCCTCAGCTGAAAAATCCCACATAGTGCAGTGAAGAGCCAAGATTCTGCATACTACAACTGAGACCCAGCTCAGCCAAATGAAAAGCTATGGGATGGGGTCACCCCTCCCCACCTCCTGCCCATACACTCCAACCCCAGCTGTGCTACCTACCACCTATAGGGGATTCTGTCTTCATACTAAAAAGCAGACACACAGAGACTGGGGACAAACTGTAGAGATAATGTTCATGTCAAAAGAATGAGTCTTAAGAAAAAAAACTGCCCAAGGAAATCACTATAGAGCAAATTTTTATCACTGAATCCATGTGTGCTGTGTGTACTTAGTCGCTCGGTCGCATCCAACCCTTTTTTACCCCATGGACGGTGGCCCGCCAGACTCCTCTGTTCATGGGGATTCTCCAGGCAAGAATACTGGAGTGGGTTGCCATGCCCTCCTCCAGGGGATCTTCCCAACCCAGGGATTGAACCCAGGTGTCCCACACTGCAGGTGGATTCTTTACCGTCTGAGGCACCAGGGAAGCTCATGGTTAACTTCAAATGGAGTCTCTGCCCCTGTAATCCCACTAGATCCTTCTAGTCATTTCTCCTGTTCCCTGCAATGACTATTTCAAACCAATATTCTTAAGCCTCTTATCCCCACCAGTCTGTCCGCTTTCTGCAAGTAAACTCATATATTTACTTCACAGGCAAAAATGGAAGCTATCAATTAGGAGCTCTGATAACATCTCGCAACTCAACTTGGTCACCCATCTCCATCTGCACCATTTTCCTCTTTCCCTCCCATTTAAACAGGACAGGCATCCCTTCTCAAGGCCAGTGCCAATGCCTGGGCCCTGAGTCTTAGTCCTTCCTTCTTTGGAGACCTCTGTCTTGTCCCCACTTTACTAAATTCTTATCGTAAGTGTCTAAACGTGCTGAAGGCTCCCATTAAAACAAACAGACCCCTCTTATCTCTCAGGTACCATGTACTTTTTTCCACTTTACAGCTGAACTTCTCAGAACAGTTGGATATTAATACTTAGGTCCTATCTATTCCCACTCCTTCTCCCACTCTATTTTGACTTCTGTAACCTTTATTGAGGAGAAGAAAATGGCAACCCACTCCAGTATTGTTGCCTGGGGAACCCCATAGACAGAGGAACCTGGTGGGCT